CCCCAAAACCCCAAAACCCCAAAACCCCAAAACCCCGAGATAGACATCCATGGTTGAAATAAACGACTGTTATGAAACTTTAGATCGATATTAAACTTTATCTGCTCTATTTATTCGTTTGAAATTTCAGGAGATTTACTATTTTGCTTAAGGATTCCATTAGACAAAGAGGACTTTGGGAAATCTTGAGGCAAAGCTTTATTCAGGTGTTCTAATCAGCTGTTTCATAACATCTGCTCTTATTTGATTATTAAATTACAATACAATACAATATCTTAAATTTTTGCATTATAAGTAAGGAGTAAGCCCTTGAGTTTTATGAAGTGGTTGGAGCCAGAACTTTCAGACTCTTTGCTACGATGGCCTCGAAGGAAATTTATTCAGGTCTTTGATCTTCTTGGCCTGGATTGCTCCGAGCTGGGCACTTTGGATAAGTGTTCTTTGAGCGTAGTCTGATAAAAATACATTTATGTATCATTTGCTTGAACCCATTTATTTCTCTAACTTAGCACGTCCAGATAAATCATGATCAAGTTCTAGAATCTTTCAGTTTTCATCAATCGAGTCGATGTAATTGTCAGGCTTATACTTCTTCTGTTCTTTATAAGTAATCATTAAGTTCTCAAAATCAGCAGCCTTGCGAATCATATTAACATCGAGTATCATCTTGTCACAATCCTCAAACGATCAAGAGTCGCATCCTTTACTAAAATGATCAACTGATAAATGGGTAAACTAATGTTTTGAAATAATTTATTTTTACAGACACGCTCTTTTATCATTTCAACTCTAAAATCTACTATTGGTGTTTCTGAATGGAGAATTCATTGGGAGCTAGATATTGGTTTCCTTTGCAAATAAGATCAATGTCGGATTTAATGAAATTTTGACTAAAATATTTTGCAAAAGTGTCTTTTTTTCAAATAGTTTTCTTTCTGTTTGACCTAGACTGTCATATTAGGGATTCTTGAAAGTCAAGTCTTTTAAATTTGTAGACACATTTCAAATTTTAAATCTGAGTCTATTTTCATAAGATTCAGCCAGCACGGCTAGAAGATAACTAAATTAATTATATATCTTTGTATTTCAACCTCTCCGAAAATATAAGGGGTTTTGGGGTTTTGGGGTTTTGGGG